GGGATGCAGTACCAGCATTATACAGTGGCTATGAGAGGCTCATGGAGTGAAAGATGGAAGGACTTTTGTCCTTCTTGGGGCACCAGGACAGGCTGACCTCTATGCAGCTATTCTGGGGGCTGGCCTCTGGCACATTCCTCTGAGGCCTGGCCCGTGCAGACCGAAGGACAGAGAGGCAGAGTCAGCCAAGCAGACTGGCAGTTGTGGGGCCCCAGAAGGGAGTGATTACTTGCCCAGGGGTCAGGGCAGGCCTCCTAGAAGTGAAAATGTTGGAATGGACCTCAGAAAAGTAATAATCACAGGAATAGTTTTTACTGTGTGCTTCCTACATGCCAGGTGCAATGCTGAACACACATGCCTCCCTGAACTGCCACAAAAATCCTCCCAGATAGACGCTGTTATTCTTTTACTGAAAAGTGCAAAAACCAGCCTAAAGTCCCACAGCTGTAAGTGGCAGAGCCAAGTATAAAGGCAGGGTTCCAGGCAGGAAAGAGACACAGTTCAAATTAACAGGTAGGAAGGTTACAAAATGGTGTTGTGGGGACACTGAGACACATTCAGGAAGTTCCTTACTAGTCACCTGATCTAGTCTACCTGGCATCTAACACCCACCAAAAGCACCAGGAGCAGATGCTGGATCAATACTTAAACCTCTCACTTCTCCCTCATGCCTCAAGGCACAAGTCCCCTTGCGGCCCCTGCCCTGTTCAAAGACTCACTGGGGATATAGAGGTCAGGGGCGTTGAGGTCTTGCCGTGGGGACAGAGGCACATCACGACTGTACTGTACTTCCCAGTTCTGGCAGTGGTGGCAGCAGCCAGGTCAGGAGCAGAGAAGAAAAGAGGAGAGAAGGTTGAGGACTATGGTAAAGACCACGGTGGGGATGAGGGACACCTACTAGCTCACTCAGTAGGTAACTCACCTGATGTGTGTAGGGGAAGACCAGGAGCCCTAGTTTCTTGGCCACATAGGCTGTGTCCACAGCGAAAAAATACTTGAGTTTGTTCACAGACACAAAACGGTGCAGCTGAGAGGAGAGAAAGGAGGCTGTGGGCAAGCCACACCAGAGACTCAGGGTGCTCCTCTGTGTGCTCCTGCCCAGAGGACTGTGGGGATCATGTGGGATATTGTGAAGCCCCAGCCCTAACCAGAAATCCTGCCACCTTTTCCCTGGGGGTAGGCCACACCTCCTTGTTCACCATGTCCTTTCCATGAGATGCAATGGAGCTGCCGTAGGCCATGGCTGCATTGGCCACTGGGTCGCCCAGCAAGTGGTTGACATTGAAGGCCACATCAACTCCTGGGGCTGGGTATCCCCCGAGCTGGCTGGAATAACCACCACTTGTGTCATCGAAGAGAGGAGAGGGATCTGGAGCTGCTCGGGCCCTGTGCTTGGAACCTGTAGATTTGGAGGTACCAGAGTAGGTGACAGGAATACCAAGCAAGAGTCTAAACTCTTCCCGTGGCAGCCCTGAATGGGTCCTTAGAACACCAAGCAATAATGAGAGAAAGTCAGGCTGGGTTAGAAGTAGCTAATTCATAAATAACTCTCCCAAAGAGGTATAAAACAATGCCATAGTAACAAAGCTCGATATAAAAAGGGGGGAAAAAATAACTCTGGTGAGGTCCTTTGCGAGAAATCCCTTGCTATATGCAGGCAAAGGAAAGCTGTTCATCTGGGATTTCTGGGGGCCTTTCAAGGGGAGTGATCTCTGAACAAAGCTGCAGAGAGTAGAAGTTTACTACTGTAATTGAACACAATGGGAAGGGCATCCCTGTATGGATAAGGGTAGGAAAGGTGACAGCTGGCTACCCGCAGGGTCAGGGACCCTGATAGGGAAAAGTTCTGGAGGCAACTCCATTCGTTCCAGGGTCAGATGCGGGGATCCCAGCTACGCTGTCACCACCCCATCTCAGGATTGGCCAGAAAGGGCTAAGTCCAGGACGCGTTGCAGTCTCGCGGGGGCAGAAACCAGAGTGACAACTCCCGCCCTGGGCAGCGGTGACGGCCGCCCCTCTCCCTTAGGGAGAGCGGGCCGCGCCGCCGACTTTCTACCAGTTGGCCGGAACGCCCCGCCCGCCTGTCACCCCACGCACCATGGACTCCGTAGCCCGAGTGATAAGCCATGACCGCGACGCTTGTTCTCCCTGAAGGCCGGCTGGGCTGCCTTGCGAGTACGAATACTAATAAAATAGCTGCTCCTCTCCCCGGCCAAGATCAGAAGTTACCCGGCAGCCGGACACGTACCCGTTTAGGCCGATTGCGGCCGCCATATCCATAGCGTCATCCTCCGCCACCCGTCATTGGCTCTTCGGCAGGGCCGGTAGGCCTCGCCCCTTTTTCCAATTGGCTACTGGAGAACTCTCCCCAAAGTGGATTCGGCAGTAGTCAGCTTCCGGGCGAGGGATAAACGGAACAAATGGGAACGCTCTATGATTGGATAGTGGGATTGCCAATTTGAGGCGGGTGTAGCCAATAGGTAAGAGAGTACTGGAAACTATTTCCGTGTCTGCGCAATGAGGCACTTGACGCCCTCTGCCACGACTACACCAGAAACACTTATCCCGGAGATCTGCTTGAATCCTGGAACACAGCCTCCGGGTGGGACCTACACAAGGAAGCAATGGAGTGGTCGGCTTCTGGTCAATCCCCGCCTCTCCGGGCCCTTCCCCCTCCCTTTCGGTGCTCTCCCCCGCCACCCCTCCAAATTTCACCCATTCCTGGAGCGGAGCGGCAGGCGACCTGAAGGTGGTGGGAGGACGGTCCTGTCAGAATTGAATGGTGGCTCCTCCTCCTCCTGCTTCCCACTCCTGCCTAGATGGGTGCTGTCCGTGGTTTGGTGCTGAAAATGCCCTCCTGCCTCTACCGCCGTCCTGCAGATCCGTGAGGGGCCTCTGCTGGGAGAGTTTGAGATCTTGATTCACTGCATGAACGAGAGAGAGAGCGAGCGCGCGCGCGCGAGCACACACACAAACACACACACACACACACACATTGAAAAACTGAAGTCCTGGAGATTTGGGTGAGATTAGATGGTCAGGATCCTGCACCAGGCCTATCCCGCCAACTCTGGTGGTCTAGTCAGTCAATTTTGGGGCCGAGGCGTGCTGATTTCCTGAAACTGCACCCTAAACTCCTGAGTCATCACCAGTCCTGTGATCTTCTCAAAGTGAGGCTCCCAAACCTCCCTCGGGATCTCAGGGTGCTCCTTCCTTTTCACCACTCCCATCCTCCCTGGAGACGGTCTTCAAGGGCCCCCCTCCCAGAGGCCTCCAGCATCACCTTTTAGAGAGCACAATCAGGTCCTGTGAGACCTGTATCTGATTAACTATCTAGTTGTCCAATTATACCAGGTGACCTTCCCATTCCCCAAACTCAGTCCACATGGTCCAACCATGTGCTTCTCTGCCCAGAGGTCCCCTCTACCTGAGATGCTCTTCCCCTTCATATGCACTTGACCAAAGCCTTTAAGAATCAGCTCAGCTCTTGCCTCTCAAAGAAACAGACAATGGAGGCCTGGCCTAGTCTGGGGTGGAGGCCAGAGCATGGGATCTAGGCCTTCTTTGTATGCACCCAGTTTCCCCTGAACGTAAGTTCCATGAGAACGGGGTCTGTGTCATGCTCCACTCCTACCTTTTCTTCCCAGTGGGAAACAGTAGTTGCATATAGAAGACACCCAATAAATATTTGTGCCAAATAAATACTAAATGAAACCTCGTTCCAGTCTTTTCCTCACCCTCTCAGCTACATCATCTTTAAATGACTAAGGGATGTTTAACTAAATTGTCTTCAAATTGCCCTTTGCACAAATGTACACACCCACCCTCAAAATAACCCACCCAGCATTGCAGGAGCTTCCTGTTCCACCCACTGATCATCTAGTTAGGGGTCAAAGCCCAGACCAGACACAGGATAAGGATGAAGCATTTGAGTCCCCAGAGGGTCAAGACGCAACACTGGGTCTCATGTACCTGGGATGGGACCATCACAGAGCAGATCACACTCTCACACAGCCGGATGAGTGCTTATGAATTGAACCCAACACCTTCCCATCCCCATTTTCGCAGATGAAAAAAAAAAAAAAACTTCAGAATGAAAATGGTGCATGCCCAACGTCATGCTCCTGAGGGTTCCCGGTGTTCTAGCACCCAGTGTGCCTATCCTGAGTGGAGCCCAGTACCCTGTCCTGCCAGTGAGGCTCTTGACGCCTTTCTGGGTTGTAACTGTTCCCTTCCTCCAAGAAGTGAGGTTTCTAGGGTGAGGTCTGAGTGGCTTTTCTTTTGGACCTAGTCCTCAGACATGGAACAAGGCCGGCCCCCACCGCCCACCCTGGAGATTCACCCTTCCCACCTTACAGCAGTCTAACCTCAGAGCAAGGACTCGCCCAAGGTCGCAGGCGCGAGCGCTGCGGGAGCAGGACCCGGGTGTCCGGCCACCCAGTCTGGGCTCCCCTGGGGCGGAGGCAGTGCCCGCGG